TATATATATATTGGAATTGGCTGGCAGGATTGTGGGTGGAGTCCTGTTCTGGGTCCAGGAGCCAACAGGCTTTGTAGAGCTTTGGGTGGGATAAAGCCTCCATTCCTGGGTCCACATCGTACCTGGTAGCCAGATCTCATTATTAGTCTCAGCTGTGCACAGGCTTTATGACTGATGCTCAGGTCTCTCACTCTGCTGTGGAAGCCTGCTGCTGTGTGAAAAGGCTGAGTGCTGACAGAACACTAAATAAGTACAAGTGTTGTTTGTTTGTTTTGGGGGACACAATAGCGTGCACCCTGTTAGGCAGGAACTCACCTGAGTTTAGTTAGGGGTCGGACAAGCAGATGTGTTTTTTTGTAATGCTATGGACATGCTGTACAAAGCCCTCCATCATTTAAACTGTGCTGGTTTGCTGCCTTGATAACTAGAAGTGCAGGGCAAACCTGCTTGGACTGTTTCTGACTGTCCCTGTCTTGTGCATGGTTTACCTCTGCCAATACCAGGAGAGCCTGTCCCCCCCCTTAATATATATAATTTTGTACCTTGCAATATGCTCTGACAGGTGACAGGAGACAAACATCTCTATGCTTCTGCTGATGTTGGCACTTGCAGCAAGTTTTTTTCTCTTTTCTTTGTAGAGTTGTTGGAACTGCGGCCGGAAAGCAAGTGAGACCTGCAGCGGCTGCAACACAGCACGATACTGTGGCTCTTTCTGCCAACACAAGGACTGGGAGAAACATCATCATGTATGCGGCCAATCCCTGCACCACCCTCCCAGTGCACCACAAGCACCAACCACCCCCGCCACACCTGCAGCCAGCCCCACCACAAGCAGCTCTGCCTCTCGATCTGGGACCCCTGCTACGCCCCTCCTGCTGGATACCGCCTCACGCTAACTGAGACCTCTTGCGATAAATATCTGAGGATGAAGGCCAACCACTTCGACACACAGCACTGGTCAGCCTCACTGCTGGCATATTCCAGTGCCCGTCAAGACTTTACCTGACCCCCCTCTCATGTCTATTTGTGGATGGGGCTGGGAGCTGCATGTCAGTGTGGTTTGGTTTTGGCCCATATGACGCTAAATATTACAACAGGCCCCATCTCTTCGCATAGGAACGAACACCCCTATGAGGGGAAGATCCTGGCTTGGGGATGTTTTTTTTTTTTTATACTGCTCTCAAATCTTTGGCTTTAAATGAAATTGAAATCCAAAAAAAAACAAAACCATAAACCAGATATACAAATGAAACTACCTTGCTAGACAGCCAAGAAATGTCCAACACCAAGAACACCTCTTAAAAAGAAATCCAAAAATAACGAAACCCTAACCCAAACTTTTCTTTTTGCCAGCCCTGCCAAAGCCCGGTCAGTCATGGCGGGAGGAGTGGGAGGGAGCTTCCTGGAGTTAAAACAGGAAACTGCTAAGTATTCTGGGAGTTCTGCCGGGTGCCCAGCCAGAGGAAGGACACCTCATTGGAACCAATGCTAAAGAAAGGAGTGCTCCAAAGAGGCACCACCGTTGCTGCACTTCCAGATTGACCTCCTCCTACCTACCTCTCCTGTAGCAAACGCCTCTTGTGTTGCTCGGCTGTTCAGGACCCCCGACACCCTCGTCCAGTTCTTGGATTGTCTGAGAGGGAATGAAAAAAAAGCACCTAGAGACACTATTTCTGTCCTGGTCAAGTAGACAATGAAATTTTGTGCTTAGGTGTCAAAACTCCAACCAACCTCTGTTTGCTTTAACGGCCTGTGGAAATACCCCAAATAGTTATTTCATGAACAGTCGTGGACAACACACCCCTTGTGGGGGGGACTGGTGGGAGGTGAATCCAAGGTATCCACCTGGCTCACAGACTTAAGCCCACGTTTGGCAAGATTGTACAGTTTTTTTCTTTTATTTTCTATTTATAAAAGCAAAATGAAGAATTCCCATGTAGGGGGCATGAGTGCAATATGAAAAGTGCAAGGCTACTGATGGATCAGGGGGGGGTAAGAGCTGCAAATTTGTATAGACACAAGCAACCACAAAGTGAAAGCGGGGTGGGCAGGAAAGCGTGAGCGCCACGCAGAGAGGAGCGGTGGCAGGAACCCAAAAAAGGAGGCTCTCTTGGTTTTTTTGTAATGATGGAGTGCAATGGGCTGACATGTACCGTAAGCTATAGCAACCAATCATAGAGCAGCTTTTTGTTTGTCCGCCCCTCCCTCTTCCTCTGGGCCTGAAAGCTGATTGGTAGCTGCTAGTTACTTCGTGCCATGCTCTTTGCGCTGTCGGCCTCATGAAAGTGCCTGAAGGAAGAAATGGCATTGTTATCCCTGGCAACTGAACTGTTCGTACAGGAAGGGAAGAATATGATTGGTTGCCATGCAAAAACACAGTTCTACCTTCAGACACATAAAGGCCCATTTATCATATATGGCCATTTTTTCTCCAAAAGGTACCCTGTTTCCCCGAAAATAAGACCTACCCCGAAAATAAGACCTAGTACTATTTTTGGGAATTGCTAAAATATAAGACCTACCCCGAAAATAAGACCTAGTTGTTACCATTCCCATGGCCGGTGGTGGCATAAGGGGGAACTTGAAGAGCTATGGGAGAGGCAGGAGAGAATCAGCTGTGCCAACGAAGCCAGCGCTAGAGGAAGCGAGGCGGCAGCGGAGGGAGCAGAGCCGCACAAGCCGATGCTTCCTCTATAGCGCCGGTTCCTATCACAGGCGAAGTCATACCAAATGCACTACGCCTGTGAGGAATCAATAGTAAAAGTGCGTTTTGCTCATTCTGGCCAGCGATTGGATGGCAAATTTCTCTTCGAAAGGTACGGCACCCCTGATTGCCCTGATCACCATATTTTTGTACATGAAAACATGTAGACTTTTCTACATGAATAAGTGCGGATTGTTGTACATTAAAAAATAAAAAATAAGACCTTCCCCAAAAATAAGACCTAGTGTGGTTTTTTGAGCCCAAAAAAGAGACAGTGTCTTATTTTCGTGGGAAACACGGTATCTGTCACAACAGTAACGGAAGTGTAACTATTGCTAGGACAGGGGGTGACAAGCAGCATCGTTCACATGGGGGGTTCTCAGGGGATCATGGCAGTGGTGACTCTGAGTTGAGGCCACGGCAAAACTTGATCATGTGATTCATGCAAGGGATTTACTTATTAAGGTGTCTTAAGGAAGCACTTTTCTTATCATTCATAGCAAACTGCTCTCCTTAACCCAAACTACAGCAGGAGAATGAGAGTAAGATTCCTGTTGGGCAGTGACGACAGTCCTTTCCGACACTTTAATAAATAAAGCTCAGATTGTATTGTGCAGCTAAGCCATAAAGTAGATTCTTTTCAAATATATTACCAACCTATTTATTACAACTTCTCATTGTGCATAGGAATATCATCTGTGTGCCAGGGAGGACTCCCATTGGTTGAACGTACTTGTCTTCTATCATTTGACCACGCCCATCATCTACTAAGTCATGCCAGTGAACACTGCCTGGTCTGCCCCATCCACCCCCGTCACCAGCACATCTTTTGAAACCCCAAACCCTTAAGGGCCCGTTCACACCTAAAGCTGAACTCTGCAAAAATAGACATGTAAATATATTCCCCAATAGCCACACAGGATTTAAATCATCTTTGTCTGCACCAAATGCCTTTGCAAACCCGGGTATTACTATATAAATGTACCAGTGACGTCATCATGGTGCTGTACATATCCTGTGCAGAGCTGTGGGAGGGACCCTGTACAAAACAAGCGGCGGCTTCCCCACTGTACGTTTAGCTGTGCTTGCCCAAAGCAGGGCTAAATGTAGAAAACACTTACCCACCCGGCGCTCAGAACTGCATGTCCCGGGCATCGGGAGATAGGAATCCGACACCCCTGCTGCCCCACTACTCCCTGCTGCCCCAAGGCCGGGCCTTGCTTGGCCTCGTGGGAAATCCAGCCCTGACTGCACTCTGTTGCTTTTAGCACTGTTATTAAGTAAGCACCATTGCCATTGTCAGCACAACCTAACTCAGCTCACGATCCCACTGACAAGCACTTGAGACAGATGGGGGTCAATTTCACAATATTACAATGTGCTCAATACCAATTGTCTAAGGGGTCTATTTATACATCTGCAGGGCCCTTCATCTTGAACATTCCTTTTGTGTGAATAATGGCAAAAAATGAACGTTCATAATATATATTTTTTTTCAGGTCAAAGTGTATTGTGACGTAATACCTCTTTATGGCCACTAGATGGATCAGAGAGGAGCAAAGAAAATAGATGCTTATTTCCTGCGCTCCTCAATGCCATCTAGTGGCCATAAAGTGGTATTACATCACAATGTACTTTAACCTGAAATGAAAATATAGTAAGAACATTCGTTTTTGCCCTTATTTGCACACAATGAACATTCACAGATATTCGCAGGGAAAATGGCCCTGCCAATTGTTTATAAATAGACCCCTAAGTGTATCTAGAGGCCAAATGTTTTCTTTTTAGTTTTGAATGGAAATAAGTAATAGTTAAAACTTCTGTTGGGTTTTTATTGCTGGGGTTAAGTTAGAGGCAATGCAACAAAGTTGTCTTCTCACTTCCTGTTGTGTCTAGGGGACAGGAAGTTAATGCATTTCTCCCCCAATGGAAAAAGGGTGAAAAGGGATCCAGGACAAAAAAAGGTTTTGGCTTTAGACCTATGTTTCTTCATCTAAAGGGCAGAACTGGCGGTCACATAGTATACTGATATACTTCTCACTCTCGCAGTGTAGAACTGTAAAAGAGAATCTGTTTGACACTGCCCTATATGAGGTCCAGTGAAAGAAGCAATTATATGAAGCAAATTAATATTAATTCAGCGTTTAAAGCACTTGGCCTGTGTACTTGAAAGGCTCAATGAATACCATAGGAAATGAACTTAATGTGAGGCAACCCACAGAAACCTTTCAGGCTGATCTCCAGGCAGATATAAAAGACACCATTTTTTGTACAAGCCTGAACTTGGCCTGGCATCAGTCTGCTGCAGTATCTGTACAGCGGAGCTCAGAGTGGGAGAGAGAGAAGCAACACAAGCAGCCAGCCAGTCAGTTTTTCAAGGAACAAACTGATAGGAGGAGAGAGCAAAGTGAGGAGATGAG